TTAAATATGTGTTTAGTTTGTTGTTAGTTTTGCCGAAAAGTTTCAAGCTATTGCATATGCGAATGGTATTGCAAATATGTACAACATGGAGTTAAGTATATCCTCGCACAAAACTAGTGCTACTATACCCCTTTGTCATAAAGGAGGCCGGTACCAAGGTCAACAGGTGGATGAAAACATGCGCGCCTGACCCAATGCGAAGACATAGATGACCGGATGCCAGTTTCGGACTACTGTTAACAAAATATGTGATAGGTAGACGATCCATAAATATCCCGGTCCATGGGGAATGTACAATCATTTTTTGACAGATCCGCCTTGGGTTAGGAGCGGACTGAGTGCAGAAATGAGAGAGCTCATTGAAGAGTATTTTAAAGTTGGGACTAAGGCAGTTCACATTTTACGGACGATATGGACACAATTTCCTGATGAAAATGTTACCTCCAAACAAGTCGAAAACTATATAAATAAATTGCGTAAGGAGGGGTTTCCAATTCTGGATGACATGGCTTCCACTGGATTTTTTCTTTTAAAGGTTTTAATGAGCCATTGTGCTAAGAAATGGACATCCAAGGGGGAGTGTTATAAATATATTAATAATGTGGATGTCCATAAGATAGAATATTTATATTAGGATTCTATATATAGAGATAATATTTAGTTAGAACTCATATTCGTTGATCTTATCTCTGTATCTACTTGCCTATAAATAGAGGCCAGTCCCTATTGAATAAAATGCACCTGAATCCTTTCTCTCTCTCATAGTTCTTCTTCTTTGTAGTTTATATTTATTTTATGATAAATATGAAATATAAAAACATAAAATTTCCACGTATTTTATATTTCATATTTTTTATTTTAAATTTTTTCAAAAAAAATTCTAAGGACAGCTAGATGCACCGATGAGAATGATAATTTTTTAGTTGGTAGTAAATGATAATTTTTCATTAATATATAAATAATTAGTGTATTTTTATTAGTTATTTATAAATAATTTTTTTATAGTAAATTCATAAGTTTTTGTTGTTATTAAACGTTAATTTTTTTATTTAAGTTTAAAAAATCCTAAATAATTAAATAATAAATTTACTATGTAAAATTAAACAACATTCTCTAAATATTTAAGTTAAAAAATTATTTATTTAAGTTAAAATTATTTATTTAACTGCCAAATAAATAAATAAATATACTTAAATAAATGAATGAATTAAATAATTAAATAAATAAATAAATTAAAAAAATAAAAAAGAGTGACGGCCGGTTGGACCGCCACCTAATCGGTTTGGTGAGCGATTTGCTCGCCAAACTGGAGGGGAGGGGGGAGGTGGCTCATGATTTGTGCGCCACCCCCTTTTCAAGAGCAAAAAAATTGCTCGCGACCCGAAAAAGGGTGGCGAGAAAAGTGCACGCCACCCGTGAAAGGGTGACGTGTTTCTCCTGCGCCAGCGCCAGCCGTGTGAAAGGCTTGCGCAAAAATTCATTGCCTCCTTTTTTTTTTAAAAAAAATATAAATATACGAGGGCAAAATAATCTTTTTAAAATTTTTTAGGGTGCTCAAATGAAAAAATTAGGGCGTTCAATAGTCACCTAGAAAAGGGATAATGGGTGTTTAGATCTTACATGAAGAGACACCTACGGTAGGCACATTTCTCTATGAGAGAGAACTTATTCATAGTCCTTCAAATTCTCTTTATTTGTAAAAATTGAACTTATTGCTTGTCTTTACTCTTTAACGAGAATTAGGACTTGTGAATCAAGTAATTAATATTCTCGTCATCCCAAAATTATCGATCAGGTAAGACTTTTACTCCTGATGCAAATTATACTAAAACCTAGATACAAATTAAATAATTATTTTAAAACAGAAAAAGTATTACTCATCTTTATATTCGACGCTATTGCTTTGATTAATTTATATGTGAGCCAAGAAACATCTTTGCATCTTAATCATTACTGAATGATCTCAATAAAAGAAGTATAACCTCTATCCCACCATGAATGAATTAGTTATCAGGATCAATGATTTTCTATCGTATTTGGTCGGTACATATATTTGCATCTAAACTCAAACATATCATGTAAAATGTTCATAGTGTATTCCGGGTCTTCTACGGTTAATTTGCATTCCTTTCATTATAAATTATTAATTTTTATGATTTGTACTTGTTCAAACTATTATTTTGAGAACCGTTGAAGCACAAAATAGATCTTAACTTGGTAACAATGAAGTAGAATCTTGAACAGAAAGTAGAATTGGATATGATGATACAACAAAGAAATGACAGTGGGAAAGCCGAAAAAGAGTAGCAAACAAAAACGTATTGAAAAACAAAACAAAAGAAAAAAAAGGAGATGAGTTACATTCATCAGTCATTCACAGACCACCGTAACACCAAAGTAAATCAATAGTTCAATACGTTAATTTCAAACAGTGTCGTTGTTCAAGGAAAAGACCCAAGGATTGCGGGGGAGCTTCCACGTCATCGGTTCTTTTGCGCAAGTGGACCCCCACCATTGAATGTGTTTTTTAGGGCAGTTAATGATCAAATGAGGGAAGCCCGAGCGTGAAGGAAAGCTTTTTTGGTGTTTGCAGCAGAGGCAGATGATGATGGTATCTTTTTTTTTTTTGAGCTCTTTCATATATCCCATAATTCATGTGGGGGGAAGTTTCTTGTTTCTTTTACATCTCTTTGGGATTTCGTTAGTTGAATTCATTCTCTATCTTTTTTTGTGACCTCTTTCACATCATGTGTCTGGCTCTCAAAACACCATTACAGTCGCCCATACCTTCCTATTGTCACGTTTGAGTTTTTTTTTTTTTTTTTTTCACATATTCTTGCAATCAGTTTGTGAGAAACTATTATTAGCATCTACCTGAATCCGAGTTCAATGTAAGGATTTTTAAAACTATAGCATGGTTATGATGAAATTCAAACCGAGTCATATAAATAAATTGATTTCGTATATTTAACGCACAAATTAAATATTTGTTAATAAAATTATTTTTTTTACCCATATAAGCAATCGTTCATATAATTAAATAAACGATTATTTTAAATCACTTTTGTGTAACACCTAATTTGTAATTATATGCACTTTTGCTTTATACTATTAGCTATAGCCTCTAATAAAAGACAAGTAAGCCCTCATAATATAGAAGTATTTTTAACATAGTAAACATTTAAGAATAAATATTACAGAGGGTGAGACATAGTTCAAGAGGACTATCTTAGGATAGAAAATAGGACAATATGACTAAAATAACTAAATAATATAGTGAATAGAATTTTTTTTTTTTTTTTTGGGATGGGGGATTATTAGGGTTTAGTACAATCTAATTGGTGGATTCAATGACCTCAGCATACAAAATATCAACTCTATATACAAAAAAAACAAAAATTTCTTATCTTAATCATTAGCTCAAAAATTTTTGTCATATAACAATAATACTTGCTTTCTAGACCTTATGGGCGACTTGGATATATTCCATCGTCTCCCAATTCACATCCCCCATATATATAAACACAAAATTTACTACTTCGTATATATCCATATTTTGCTTTGTAATTTCATTTTCAACCTTTCAATTCCCAACCAACAGTCCCTTGAGGCTGACCTGCCATGAATTGATGAATACAAAGTAAACTTAAATTCGATGTGGACCAATATATATAATTCCACTACTCGTCGTGAGGTAAGTTTTGTGCCTTTTTTTCCCTCAGTTCTCGAATGCATTAGTTTTTTTTGCTAGCTAGTAGCCCCCATTGTCCCATTCGTGAACCATGTCAATTCTAAAAAAATAAAAATAGAAACCACCAATAGAAATAACCCATATGCAATGCAAGAGAACGCCTCTCAACTACGTCTCAAATGTGTAAAAAAATATTTGTATACAAAAGATACATATCAAAATGGAAACCTTAACCAATCATGAATCACTAACCAAAGTACAACAACAACAACAAAGCGCAATCCTTCTGTTTTTTTTTTTTCAAAAGACAGAACAGCAAAAGAAAAAAACCACCCTACTCATTGATTGGGACTAGTGAACAAGCAGCAATAGAAATGGACAAAATATAGAGTTGAATTTAGGGGGAAAGAGGCAAACTTTCAAGTTTCAACACATGCATTTATACAAATTTTTTAAATTTCCAGACACAAAGCAAGTACCGCATTCATGATTTCTTGATTGTTTATGTTCTTTTCTCTTTTTTTTTTTTTTTGGGAGGTTGTTACATTATTGTAGACTTGGAGTAATAGCATTAGAGAGAGAGAAACAATTGAACAAAGGACCCATCCACCGCCCAAGTTCAACGCAGTCTTACACCCCAATTTTAGCCAATTTTGTGATCGTTTCAATCTAACCCTAAATGACCCAATCCAAACCTTAGATCATACTATAAACTTAGTTAAAAAGAAGGGATAATAAACCCAAAAAAAAAAAAAAACAAAAGCCAGACCAGAGCAGACTTGACCTGACTCTCTCTCTCTCTCACTCTCTATATCCTTCCTCCTCTTCTCTCATCTTTTTTATTTTGTCTCTTCCTACTCAGCTCTCAAAGGGGAAAGAGAAAAGAAAAAGAAAAGAAAAGGAAAGCCCTTTCAATAACAGCAAAGAGAGCTAGAGCAAGCAGAATCAGAGATAAGGTACAAGATTCGTTTTCAATCATTAGGTAATTAAGCTCGCTCTACTGTTTTGAAGGGTTTGAGAGCTGTTTTTGCTGGAAAATATGAGTACTACTTCTTCCTTGAGCTGGGTTTTTGGTGGGTGACAGACTCACCCCAAAGTCCCCTTCTTTTTCTTTTCCCCCTTTCTTCTCCTTCCTCTACTGTGAAGAAATTAAACCAATTAAAGGGAGGAATAGAATTATTTAGATAATATAATAGCAAACAAAGAAAAAAAAAAAGGGAAGCTCAAAAGTCTCTCTTCTTCAGTCTTCTTCCTCCTCCTCCTCCACCTCCTTCAGGGTCAGCCATCTTTTTGAATCCAAAGTAAATATCTTTTTGTCAGCCTTTTACTTGTACTTTCATCTGGCAATCCTCATTAGAAAAAAGAAAAAAAGAAAGAAAACAACTTTCTTCTTCTTCTTCTTTGCTTTTTTGTTGAGCTGGAGAGGAGGAAGAATTAAACTAAAACAGTTTTGATTGATTTAGAGATAAGAGGGAAAAAAAAAAAAAGGAAGAGAAATGGATCCAGTAAGTCATCATTCACTGCCTCCGCCATTTAACACCAGAGATTTCAATCTTCAGCACCACCAATTCAACAACCACAACAATTCCGAAGATGAACACAGCGGCACCAGCGGTCTAAACATGGGTTCCGGCGGCCCTCATAAGCGAGAAAGGGAGGATCATCACAACGACGGCAACATGAACGGCGACGGCAAGGATCATTCCGGAGGAGGAGACGGCGGAGGCAGCGGCGGCGGCGGTTCGGGCGAGATGACTCGGCGGCCACGTGGGCGGCCAGCTGGATCCAAGAACAAACCGAAACCCCCCATCATTATCACCCGGGACAGCGCTAACGCGCTCCGGACCCACGTGATGGAAGTCGCCGACGGCTGCGACATCATGGAGAGCATGGCCAATTTCGCCCGGAGGCGTCAGCGCGGCGTCTGCATCATGAGCGGCACCGGCACCGTCACCAACGTCACCCTGCGGCAGCCCGCGTCCCCGGGCGCGGTGGTGACTCTCCATGGCCGGTTCGAGATCTTGTCGCTGGCGGGTTCGTTTCTTCCGCCGCCAGCTCCGCCGGCCGCGACGTCGTTGACCATATACTTGGCCGGCGGGCAAGGGCAGGTGGTGGGAGGGAGCGTGGTGGGGCAGCTGATGGCGTCGGGTCCGGTGGTTATCATGGCGGCTTCGTTCAGCAATGCGGCTTACGAGAGGCTTCCGTTGGATGAGGAAGAGAGCTCGATGCCAATGCAAGGCGGCGGCGGCGGAGGCGGAGGAGGGTCGATTGGATCTCCGGGAGCGGCGGTGGGCGGCGGAGGAGGAGGAGGGCAGCAACAGATGATGGCTGATCCATCAATGTTCAGCATGAATCCGGGGCTACTCAACTCAGTTCAATTACCACCTAGTGAAGCTTATTGGGCTACTGGTCGTCCTCCTTTCTAACTTATGCTTTCCTACTAATTTACCAACAAGGTTACAAGTTTTTTTCTTAATCTTCTTCATTCCCCTTCTATTGATTTGCTTTGATCAGCTCAACATGCAAGAATGGTTAATTTTTAGCAAATTAAAATCGATCTTTTGAGTTAGGGTGTTAGCTTAGCTAGCCAGCTTTTGAGCATGTTTCTCTCTTCTCATCTTTTCTTTTAAGGTTTCTTTGTTTTCATCAGTTAATTAGCTAGCTAGAGAGATAGGCTGTTTTCTTGTTGTTACTGAGTTTGATTATCAGATTGACAATGTGGGTGTTTTCGTTTTTGTAATTTGATTGTAGAACTCTGTACATTATTATTATTATTGGTTTTCCTTATGATCCATACGGATCCTAATTTTATTGGTTTCACTATGATATGTGCTTTTTTAACTGGTGCTAATATGATTAATCCAAGTAGAGATGTAATTTTATGTTCTTTTGAATCCAATAAATCATGGGTTTATAGTACTTTATAAGTTAGACCCTTGTAAATATAGCAAGTTTGACTGAATATTAACAATGTGGCTTTCCATGATGACTTAACATAATCGTTTTATCTTGTGTCCAGCATTACTAAAATTAACTAGTACGGTATCATAATGATTGTAATTAGAGTTAAGATTATCGTGTTTTTTTTTCCCTCCCTTTCATAGAAGAAATGATCATGATCACATATGAAAAATACATAGATAGAGCTAGCTAGCTCTGGACAAAATGATTGATGGGGTGTGGCAATGGCATGCTAAGAAAGAGGGGGAGTATGGGGAGGGCTTTTAGAAATTGCAGTTTCCGAATTCCAACATAAATTTTGACTACCATCTTCTACACAAGTTATGTGGTTTAGGGTTCTTGAATCTGGAGAAAAAAAGTAGTAACGTTTTACCAATACACGTGCACAGTTTCTAGCAAAGCTCCTTTTCGAGGAGTTATAGTATTAGAAGCAGCGGTTACAAAGTACAACCTGGACAAAATGTCGCTTGTTCGGTTAACGTTATAGTCTTTCATGGAGACAGCAACTTCAGTTACTGCTCTAGATCTGTCTCTTTATTAATTTGTACTACATCATTTTTATTCAAATCTTTCTTCTTCTTCTTTTTTTGGTTCTTTTTCTTGGATTAGGGGCGAGAGATTGAAAGTAAAAAATGCAAAGACCAAGATAATTTAACCCACACATGCAGCTCAGATTCTTTGAATTGAAGCAAACTTTTTTTTTCATTAGTTCACTTTTTCTTCACAATGGGTTGCTTCCTTTTTATGCAACAAGCCATGTAAATTAGTACTTAGTTTCTTTCAAAACCTGAGCTTATCCATTTCAGTTCTCTAGAAACAAGTCTCACCTTTGACATGCATGCAGCTTTAATTTTCGCTTTTACTATCTTGAAATGATGATTGTACTCCCTTCGGTCCTTATTATAAGACATTTTGATGTCGTCCTAGGTTTTATTTAGAATGTCGTTTAAATTGGAATAAAAAACTTAAAAATATTTTATAATAATTAATAGAACATAACGAATGTGAAAATATATTTTTAAAATTTTTTCAATTAAAAATACATTCTAAGTTAATTTTAGGACGAAATCAAAATGTCCTATAATAAAGACCGGAGGAGTAAATCCTTCCCTTCGTCTCCTCTTTTCTTTTTTTCCACTTTTTTTTTCCCACATACATATGGAATTCGATCATAAATCTCTACCGGTTCAAAGTTTTTATTCCCATGCTAAAATCTTTTCCGAGGAGAAGAAAAAAAACCATTTTATTATTCATATGGCTATGTGTAAAAATGCTTAATTTATTCCAACGATGTTGGATCTCTCTCTCAGCCTTCCATGAGTCCTCGCATTCTCTCTCCCTTGACTGCCATTTTCATTCTTTCTTCTTTGTTTTTTTATTTTCCCCATCCATTGAGATGCAGAACTTTTTTAAAAAATGTATACATTGTAGTATTTCTTTGGGCCCAAAAATTGAGCTTAAAAATTATATATATACAAAGTCATTTCATGCCAGTGCTAGTTCCAACCATTAATGTTTGAATTGTCTTTAATGATTGGAATGTGGTCTAAATTTCGTACGCTTTTAGCAACTTTACTTTTTTCGGGTTTTTAAGGTTTATGTGGTGGGAGGGGGTATCGATATACCCCTTAGGATATTGTTGTATTTTAATTAGGTGCTTCCAAACCCCTTTGGCTTAGATATTGTACGATGGAAAATAGATATGAGCATAAATTCACATATTAGGTTAATATATAAAAATAGCACTTCCTGCTGTCTTTATTATAAGACATTTTGATTTCGTTTTACGTTTTACTTATGATGATTATTTAATAAGAAAAAAATTTTAAAATATATTCGTTATGTTCTTCTAATTATTATGAAATATTTTTAAAATTTTTATTTTGATTAAAAAGATATCTTAGATAAAATTTAAGATGAAATCAAAATATGTCTTGTAATAAGTAGCGAAGGAATACATCCATATATAGTGGTCCAGAACACATCTCTCCATATGTACAGTGCCAGAAATCATTATGTGAGGGACCATCACCAATTGACCCTTCTTTGAATATATAGATGTAATATTGGATCCTCTTTCTCATCGATCGTTTTCTCGAGCAGTTCATCCATGTAAGAGTGATGAAGAAATCAATAATCTCTTGTCCGTTAGAAAAAAGAGTCATCTTTTTTTTTTTTTCTCCTTTTATTATTCTAAAACAAAAAAAAAATATGTTTAAATTACATGCATGTGTGGAGTAGTCCATGTTTAAAACTAGGAAGAAGTAATTAAAAAATTTAAAAAAATTAATTATACTTTACGTTGTAAATTTAAAACTCAAATACGTTGAAAAGTTTCTTAATAGGACTATTCCCATTGAAAGAAATTAAAGTGTTAAAAGTCTTTTAGTCATAGCCATAAAACGAGGTTCATTTACTTTCTCAAGTGAATCACCCAACTCTTTCCTCAACTTTGCACTCAAGGGCGTTCAGTTTGCCGGGGAAAGAGAATTGAGGAATAAACATTTCATTTCTAGTTATGCATGAAATGTCATCGATTGATTTTCAGATTTTCTAAAATGATAATCGTTTTCCAATGTTGTGTGTCACATTTTAGTTCATCAACGATTATTTGAGGGAATTAAGTATTCCATATGTCCCAAAGCAAGAATAATTCATTCACATAGCAATATTCTTATATTGGAAAGATTTTATTTTTTTTTTTAAGAAAAAAAGAAACTCGGATTGATTAATCGCCCAAGTGTAAGGTTGGGTATGGTTTTTCTTCTTCCAATCCTCTAAATTTATCTTTCTTTAGTTTCAAATCAAGTTTAATCTGATAAATGAAAAAAAACCATATATTGTTTGAGGAAAACTTAAAATAGTTTTCTCAACGTATGCCTTCCCGTTGACTTGTAAGGTGCACATGTGGGAGAGAGATAAGGTTGATGAAACGAATATTGTGATATACTCTATTTAAAAGGCATTAATAGAGTATATTAAAATATTTATAGAGCGATTTTGTGTAGCAATTGGGTTGGATAACTACAATGTAATTATCACTTGACTTTGGTAGCGATTGAGTTTCATTATTTCTATTGATAGTTCTAAAAAATATGATTGTTTATTGTTTTAATACTTTAAGCATTAACTTTCTTCATTGTAAAAAAAAAAAAGCGTTAATTATTAGAAGTGAAAAGCAAATGAAATGAATATTGTAATTGCATGAAGGCTGGTCCATGGTCTATATTTTCATAGGACATAAACACATTTTGTTTGTCTTGGACAAACAAGAATCCTAAAGTTACCTACTATAATAAGGTTATAGATATGAATATGTATTGATCGACTACGTTGATCCGATATCTATGTATCAAACTGATATATTCATTCGTTGAAAAAGTATGATCAAATGGAACTGTGAATGATAATGCAATGTATACCTGTATAAAAACATAATGATTTCTTTATACTGTAAGAGTTATTAATCAAAAATAGATTGAATATTTTGTATTTTTTTTTTAACAAATATTTTGTCATTTCATTAAACACTATCCCAATTCACCAACGCTACGCCTAGTCACTCATTATTGAATATGTATTGATGTTTTTTTGTTTTGGTCAAGAATTTAGGGGATTTTTTTCTCCCGGTCCCGGTAGCAAAAGACATTAAATAGGGGGATATGGCACAACGGTTGAGGTGTCGCTATTTAGTGAAGCAAACAACTCGGGCCTTGACTCTCGACTGGGAAGACGATAGAAATAGTGCAAGAAATTGTGGGGTTAGGTTTTCTATAAAGGTTTTGGACGTTTGTACATTTGTCGCTGCTGCAAATCAATCCGACACGGCAGTAATTTTTGTGTTAGATTGTCAACATCCGGGGGCACCGGGTACCTCTTGTGCGTGTACTTTACTCTCTTAGAATAGCGTGAGTCCGCTAAATAATTCAGTTCACACAGTTTTTTTCTTTAATTAACAGCAATATTATGGATGGTTATCCATGCTATAATTGCTGGTTATCCACCTATTTTATACTGGTTATCTAGAAGGTGTAACTGGCTATCCACAAGTTGTAAACTGGTTATCTAAAAGGTGTAAACTGGTTATCCACAAGTTGTAAACTGGTTATCCAAACTTTGTTTGTGGTTATCCACCTATTTTATACTAGTTATCCACAGGGTGTAAACTGGTTATTTATACTTTTTTTAGATGTGCTTCTATGTAGCTACCTGTCCATACAATTTGCTGGTTATCCACCCATTTCCGGTGCCCTTGCAAATTCCGGCGGTGTGCCACCCCGTCATTTAGTTAATTTGTGTCCCCTCTTAACGCAATAACACACTCTCCCTACACACACACCCTCCTTACACACACACAAAAAAAAGGATTACCTTAGCTACATTGACGTGTTCGGGGGGGTGGCGCAACCGGGGCAGGTTGGTGACCTGCGATTCCGATAGCCGCGGGAGTCGTTTAGTTTATCTACATACCGTTTGCTTCTTTACCTCTGGATAACCAGTTTACAACTTGTGAATAACCAGTTTACACCTTCTGGATAACCAGTTTACAATTTGTGGATAACCAGTTTACACCTTCTGGATAACCAGTTTACCCCTTCTGGATAACCAGTATACAACTTGTGGATAAATTATGGATAACCAGCAATTGTGTGTGTTTGTGCGTGAGGATGAAAACAGTAAAATGGATGCAAACAATTTTGTTTGTGCATTTAATGTAAAAATGAAAAATGTTGAGCGCGTGTAGTGCGGGTGTTTGGTGGGGGTATACGGTATATCCGGGTGCACTGGATACGGACTCCTCAGCCGGTTGTTGTTGTTTGCCTGGAGCATCTATCACCCCATTTC